GAGGAGAGAGAGAGAGAGAGAGAGGACGAGAGGATTGTTATTGTCATTTAAAAGTTGATAATTTGTTTACTATGATAAGCATAAATTATATTATTTATACTTTTTTAAGGTTTTTATTTTATCCTAAAAAAGATTGCTATAAAAAAATGAGTGAATCAAAAAAGTGATTTTAATGTATTTCTTCCAGAATGAAATTAAAAAAAGTTTGAAGACGCAATTTTTTTTTCGGATTCTTTAATTTTCTAAATTTAAAATTTTACTGTTAATAATTTTAGCTTGCTCTATTGAATCATATAAAGCAAAAAATGGTTTGGGAGATTGTGAACCATGTCCTGGGCATAGTGGTACACGGAATACCGGTAGTGCGGAGTGTCAATGTGATGCGGGATATTATCGGGCTAATGATGAAGGACCTGAATTTCCTTGTACACGTAAGTTTTTACTTTTCTTTTTTTTTGCTTATTTTTGGAACTTTTATATAATTATGAATAAGAATATTTTCTTCGACAGTTTTTTTTTTCGAAAATTATTAGAAATGAATTTGATGCAAATATTGTCACATGATGGTCAAATCTCATTTTGAAGTAAAATATGATAAACTAATTTTGCAGTTCAATTTGTTATCACTTTCATATTTCATTAATTAAATTAAAGAACAAAAAAAAAAAAAAAAAGTGGGAAAGAAGTTTATTTGTAGAGCCACCATCGAAACCATCACATGTTACAGTAGCACAAATTGACGAAACATCCGTCATAATCGAATGGGATGAACCATTGATGCTTGGTGGACGAAAGGTTAATTTAAGTTAATACATTTTGCAATTTGCTAATTAAGATTGGAATAAATGAATGGAATGAATTTAAAAATGAGATTTTTGAGACGGTATTTCTAACAGATATGTTTCTGAAGTGGACATTATGACCAGCTATTCAGGATAGTTTTTGAAGAGTGTATTTTCTCGATAAAATTAATTTCAGAAAAAAAAAAAAGAATCCCACCATTGATAAAAACTCGAAATTATTCTGTATTTGATAAAAACATTCAATTTTTATTTCGCAGTAAAAAAAAAAAATTACTCAAAATTATCCTACTGTAATAATGACATTATTTCAAGTTATCTTGCGATTAATATTACCTCAAATTTATTTTACAATTAATGATGCTGGAATTGATTATTTAATGGTGTATGAATATTCCGAAATACCTTACAATGAATAAATCAAAATCGAGATTATTATAATACAATTAATTAGTCAATTAACAACATGGTTAATAATTATGTTTACAGTATGTGTGAATTGAGTTTTCAATTACTAATGAAATTAATTTCCATTTGATTACTTCATTTTTTATTCACATCTATTTTTACATTAACAGGAATTATGGTATCGTTACCAATGTCCTGAATGTCCAACAACAACAATAGCTCATCCAGCTGAAAATACATTCACAACACAACGTTTAGAATTAACCGATTTAAATGCTGGTTCCACGTATACGGTGTTAATTTTTGCCGAAAATAAACTATCAAAGATTGAATCGGTTGTTAGTCAGTATGCATTGGTTGAATTTACCACACGGTTAGTTTTTTTTTTACTTTTGTATAATTTATTCCCTTGTTATAATAGAAATAAGTTTCATTCTTTGCAATCTATATATTGCCTATATCGTAGTATGCATTATGTTACACATACCGTAGTTCTACGTGTTACATGTACCGTAGCATATATTGTATTATACGTACCGTAGCAATGTATGTATAGCATATCGTAGTATGTATTGTATTATATATATTGTAATTTCGCATACTGCATATGCTGTAGTATGTACTGTATTAAATGTGATTTCACTTTTGGAAATGCTAAATGATACTTGACGTTTATTAAGATAAACAATCTTTTTTGATAAACTGAAGAATTAATATTATTTAATAAGTTGTTCGTGTTGATTATATGTTTAAAGAAATTTAACCCGAAGTATACTGTAATTGCAGGACTACGGTACCAGTAATAAGCGATCTTCGAATTGAAGGTATACAAGAAAATGGTGTAACAATTGCATGGAAATCAATGAGTACAATTAGAAAAGGACATTCTTATGAAGTTAGTTAAAGGAATAATAGTTATTGATTTTTTTTCTTTTATTATTTTTATTTTCAAATAGTTCAATTCAATTTGCTTGTTTACTTTCAGATTGAATCATTGCATAATGATTCATCATCAGTTGTAAAAACCGCTCGAAGTTATTATACATTTGAAAATTTGAAGCCACAATTTGTGTATTCATTTAGAGTAAGTTAAGCTATATTACATATATGTATTCATTTATACATTTTTACATTTAATTTTTTACATAAATCTATTAATGGAATAGGTTTAGCATTGAAATTGATATAATATATATTCTTCATTTTCTTTTTTTTTTTTTTTTTAAACTATAGTAGTTAGCATTTTTGTTGTAAGCTAAGATAAAAGAAGGTAGAAGTTTTATAAATAATTTAACCCATATTGAGGAAATTTAAATATATTTCAAAGCTTTCACTTTTTTTTCGAAAAAAAAAATAAAATAAAATAAAAAAATTTATAATTATAGGTACGTATAGTAAGCGAACATGGACATGGTACATGGAGTGAACCATTATGGTATCAACCTGGTCGTAGTTTACCATTTGCACCAATAAGCCATAATGTTGATGATGATAATAGTGATAATGATGATTATATGCATAATAATAGCATTGTGTAATTTTTTTTCTTTTTTCTTTTGTATCATTTTATTATAGTAATTACAAATTAAAATAGCATCCATATATTTGGTTTA